ACCCAGACATTCTCATCCCCTCTCCCCAGTCAGGCAACAAACTTCTGGATGTTTCAATTCAAATGGGTTTAACATCCCTCAATTCTCAAATTTGGGGGAAAAAAAAAAAAGCACGTGGCTCTGCCAAAACCCTTCTTGCTGAAGCCAGCCAAGCCTGTCACCTCTGGAGAGAGCAGTCCCTGCATAACTACCCACAGCCATTCCAGGAGAACTCAGCCAAGAGCCTCCATTTCTTCCTAAGAGGTCCACACAACACCAAAACTTGGTGAACAGCTTGAGTTTTAGCTTTCTTGCAAGCAGCCAGAAATGCCTTCCTAGACTTGCAAACTCATCAAGCATCTACACAACTCAAGGGAGCACTGAGCAGAGACACTGAAGCAGGTTGAAAACAAGCTGGCTCAGGAGCTCATACTCCCAAATTAATGCAGACACCAAGCTATTAATATGCCTATGAAGCCTTCGAGATCTGAGCTATTCCCTCCACCTCCTGCCACGCAGACACGTGAGCTTACTGTAGGGAGCTTGAGGATCCTGCAAGCTCGGGGATGCATTGCACAGCATCAACACCATCTCCAGTGCTGTAATCCCCAAGTACTTTGGAAAACAAAGGCAACAGCAGCTTAATAACCTTCAGCACTAAACAACTTGCAGAACACTGTCACTATTGCTAATTGTCAGAATAGGACATCTTCACCCCATCATGGTCCTCAATTCTTCACCTTCACAGCTCACCTCACAAGTAAGCCAAAAGTCAAGTAGTTTTATTTTCCTACAAAGAAAGGCAAAGCCACCAAAAAAATCCAATCAAAATTAGAGGGGGGAAAAAGGAGAGAGATAATAGTTGACCTGAGATTTACAAGCAACAGCCCAAAACCCCCACTAAATATCTTGCAGAACTCAGATCGTAACCATAACAATATCTAAATATTAGATGGAAAAGACTGTTGTCAGCAGGCTTCTCTAGAACGTGATCCAAACGACTTTATTCTCACCTCCATGGAAAAGACAGCAGGATGTAAAATTAACCATGCGGAATCCAAGCACTTTGGCTCTCACAAAGGAAACCTCACCAGCCAAACTGGGACAACCTTAAACTCGTCCCATAAAGCTGTGTTTGCAGCAAGCTGGTGAGGGGCCGTGAGGGGGATTTGTCTTTACCGAGGTTTCTTGTAATTGTAGAATACATGTTATTACTATGAAGCTGACATAAGAAAGACATGTATTAAATAATGAGCTGGGTCTGCAATAAGCACCCTGTTGCTATTTAAAATGGACATTAGGAGGTTAAAATTACTGCTCCTTCTCTAAGTTACACCATCTCAGAATATTAAAAGTAAAATTTCAGAACATCTGGTTTTCCTTTCCACCCTCTATGATATCATGTTTTCCAAGCCCATTTGGCAGCTTATTATAAAGATACAGGCAGACTAAACATACAGGGTAATGCAGAGTCAGGATGAGAAATTCCAATGCCCTGGATGCACTGCGTTTCCCAACTCTAAATTTCAGTTATACACAGTGATATACTAAGGGTTTTTCCCCCTTGGTAACTCCTGTACTCTTCAACCTTCATTCTTCCTTGATGAGATGATATGATATAGTGTATATCTGTCCTCTGGAGTTTTGGCTCTGCCTTTGTAAGTAATTTCTCATGTATTATGGGATATTCAGAATCCCTATACAGCAAGATTCAGTTATAGGAAAAAATAATTATGTTTAATGGGGTCAGATTTTGTGTGTGCTTTTCTTTATCTCACTGCTGGAGATGAGATTAGCCTCTCTGTTCCTCCAGTCTAAAAGGAAACCACACACAGTGGCTGCTGTCTTTCCGCAGCTTCATTTTACACCTCCCAGTCCATAACTGAGAAATTGGACCAACCAAACCTAGGGGACTATTTTCCTATGATTCTTCACGGGTTGTAAATAGAATAGAAGAATGCCTGTTATAAAAACAACAACTCACATTTGGCCAATTTCTCTCAGAGTTTTTAACCTTGATGTGACCTTTGCATTTTCAATCATTACGTTTTGTATTATTATTACTATTATTTTTAACAGGGCTCACTGTCCTAACACGCACTCAAGAGATTAGCCAGCATTAATATACTTTTAAGCTTAGCAAATCTTCATATTTTACTGATATACCAGAAGGTAGCCAATTCATACACGCTCACAAGTGAATGAACAGCAAATTTAGGAAACCAGTACCAGTTTCTTGTTCTAAATCTTAATTCTCCTTTCTGCAGAAAGATGTTTAGAAAACATGAAAAGATGTCGTGGGAATTCTAGCATGACAGAGTCTTTGGCTTATTATCTTACATTTAAAAGCAATTTATACAAAAGCAATTATTTAAAGTGTACAAAGAGCAAAAGCGGGTATGAAACAAAAGAATCATTGACAAAATAATTGTCCCATTGGATACGCCTCGATTAAAACTTAAAGACCAATCAATAAAACTATAATTATAACTTTCACTCTGATGCAATTTGAAATAGTTTTTTATACACATATAGATTGACCCATTAGCTAAGACTTAATATAAAATAAATGTGATAAGATCTTGTTTTGTGATATTTTTATTATGGTTTTGCTGTAGCAAATCTCTAAATCCCTGCCTCAATTATTTTACAGCTTAGTTTTCCCACTGTATCAAGAAAGGGAAGGAGTTGGGGAGCAGAGGAAGAGAAAGCTGGCAAAAAACAGAATCTTATTAAGAAGAAATGGCTGTTTCAACATCACATTTTCCACGCCATCAACTCAGGCTGCTATTTCAATGGCCATCACTACAGATTTCGTTGGCCTTAGGGTGGCAAGAGCCCTGCATCTGAAGCATAGCTACAGGCAGGTCATTGAGCTGTGCTGCATTTCAGCTCGCACGGCTGGAAACAAGGCAGGACAGCCCTGACACACAGGGGCCATGGGTACATGGGTGACACAGGTGACATGGGCCGGTGACACAGAGACACAGGCCTCCTTGGAACATGCAGGCAACATGTCTGCAATTACACATCTGAAGCCAATTGTTCTTTAGCTGTTGACAATTATATCATCTGATCAGGGTTTTCTTAGAGAATCCTCACAGACGAAGTGCACTATAAAAAAATCCACTTGCAAAATAAGAGACTTCTTTAAAAAGAAGTTTTTACTGTGTTTTTTTTTGTATCACTGGCACCTCTTCATGGGACCAATCTTCATTTCTCAATTCTAAAACAGAGCAGTCCACTTGGAAAGCTTAAGAAACCTCTCAGAACTGCTGCTCCACGAGTCAACCAGGCAAACAAGGAGTTTAAGGGCTACGGTTCACGACGACTGTGAAAAATGTCTTGCCGATTCCAGTGCAACAAATTCTGTGCATTGCCTCAAGTTAGGAGCTGCAAGCTGACAGCACAGAGCCTCATCTAGATCATAACCAATCTGCCTAGGGAGGCAATGCAGAAGATTACCACCCATGCCTACACCTATCACCTCCCATCTATTCCTGTCTATAACCACTGCCAAAGTGACTGGCAAAGATGCTGCATTCAGCTCTCTTCATCTGCTTGGTATGAGAAACTAGAGTCACATTCAGCTTTATCAGCTTCATTCCCAGGGGAAAATAAAAATCCCTTGGGAAGCAAAGCTGAACTCAAGGCAAGCAGGAACAGTTAAATTGCTGCTTTGCTTGCCCTGGGGGGTAGCTAGGCCATACTGTATAATACTGAGGCACTTAGTAGTTAAGCTAAGGTGCAATCAGTCCTTCTGCACCTCTAGGGACTTGGGCTGAGTTACCAAGGCCATTGAGGAGAGTGTGAATGTTGAAGCACATGTGAAGGAGAGAAAGAAAAGCCAATTTCACAAGATACAAAAGCCTCACTTCATAAAAGCAGAACATAGAATCAAGAGCACAGTACATTTTTTGACTCCATGTAACTAAATTTAAATTGTTAACTCAGCAGATCTGTGCGTTGTCCAGTCACCTTGGCATTGCATGCTGGCAATGAAATTCAAGGCACTTTCAAGTAGACCCTTGACATCTGAAAAATCTTTCTTCCCTCTAAAGAGCAGTCAGTATAAACTGGGAAATTACCCTGAGGTTGGAAACTTGAGAGGGCAGGGGTATTTTGGTACTCAAATCCAATTGGTTAGTGCTATTTCATTTGGTACTTAGAATTTTTTAAAGAAAACTAAAGAAACATTTATTTCCTGCAAGGTCCATGATGTTAAAAGCCAAAGGTATCAAAAACAAGAAAGTCTTCTCTTGCACACTCCCTTACTGAGCATCTATAATGTTTGACAGAATTTGGTCTATTATTTTGGGCACTGAATGAACTCAAAGAGAGTCACTGCTTGCGGCTCCAGATCCTGTTATGAATAAAGCCATTTCAGTTTAATGGACCAGAAACAGAGCAATTTCTACAAAAAGTGAGGAGAAATTCTTTTTAAAAAGTTTTTATGTAGAAATAATTGTCATTATTCATACACATTTTAATCCATTATTCATATATTTTAATTACCCAATCAGTAAACTACAGTGAGCTATCAGGGGAAAATAGATGAATACACACACACTATATATATATATATATATATACACACACACACACACACACACACGAAAGCCTGTCCTTAAATACATAGGCATACATTCCAAGGAAAAAAATGTTTCTTTAGGTTACACGTTCCACTGAGACAGCCTTCACCAGGCTGGCATTGCACATCATCTGGCAAGCGAAACTACACAGCTGCCAGTTGCCCCAACCTGTCATGTCACTTTATACATTCATTGGTGAAGTCTGTTTATAAATGCAAGGAAGGCTTCTCATCAATATGACAAACTATCTTCAGGGAAAAGGTGTTCACTGAATCTGAATATATGGAGGGAAAGGGATAGGCTATAAATATTAATTAACAGTGGCTACTAGAAGCAAAGGTAGATGAGTTTCAAATCACACAACTTTTCTACCATATATATTAAACATTGCATCATGACTGCAGAAAACTTCTGTAAATGAGATCTTACCACTTCTCCAAAGGAGGCAGCCACCATGTGCGTTACAGGAGACAGGTATGACGCAGAGCCACAGGGCAGCACAGACTTAACATATTCATAGGTGACAAAAAAAGCAGCCGCTGAAATTCAAAATACAGAGTCATTTAGCTTTCTCCATCACAGAACTAATACAAAAATATTCACAAGTCATTTATTATTTGTCATTTATTATTCCAGTACTGATTTTGAAAAACAGTATTTATTGCCCCAGAACAGGACAACAGCACCAACACAACCTGCGAACAACCTCCTTCAGAAGTCTGTGCCTTTAGTTATCATTGGCAAACCTCCCACTAATATCAAAGGTGTCTAGACTTGAAGAGGATATTCAATATTGAGATTAAAAAAAGATGTGTTAAACATTCCTGACTGTCCAGTAGGTTGGGAAATGTCATCTTCCACATTTGGAGACTGAAAGGGTAGAGATGGGGTTGTTCCAGACTAGTTGAATTTGTTGATTGCTCTTGACTTTTGTAAAAAGTTCAGCGGAGCAATTGGCAAGTCAGGGGGAGGAAGGAAGGTATTCAACACGTCTGCTCTTCTGCAAAACTGCTTCAGCAGCAGTAACAGCATCTTCTTTGCAATCATCCTTGATCAGTTGAATATTTCACAATTAAGTTCCAGAAAGAAAAGTACTCAAACTTTCTCTAGAACTGTGTGCAATGGACAAGAAACATACAAATCTAAACAGCATGCAGCAACATAAACAGTGGGATTTTTCTTTTCACTGCAACAGTCAACTACAAAGGCATTTGCACCTTAAGGGTTACTCGCTCTCCTAAAGACAATTTCAGTTCTTAGTCTACAGCAGAAAGATAAAAACACAGTTCAGATTTTAAAGACGCAGAGGCTGAAAAAACTGACATCTCGCAGGGGAACAGATTTTAATTGTAAAGGACTATGTGAACTGCCTTCTGCTGCTAATCAAAAGATGCTTATCACCTCAAAAGGAGATAAGAGAGGAGACAAGATAAAGAACTGTTTTTTTATATCATCTTTTGAAGGACATCAAACATTTGAAGGTGTCAGTGGATTTGTCAGCAAACTTCTCCTAATACTTACTACTGACAGCTTAGCTTGGTGCTTTTTTTTTTTCTCCACTCTGTACAAAGAAGAAATGGACAAAGGTCTTTGGAATTGTAGATGCCTTTTCCTGCAGGGACAACAAGTATTTATCTTTCAAAATTTTAATTTCAAAATTAGAAATTACCAGGGATACAGTTAAGTAGCTCAAAAATCCCCAATGTTCAACCACATTGAAGAATTCTTCAGCATTTGCAGTATAATGAAAGAAACACAGGGGCATGAGCGTCCATGGAAAGCAAGACTTTTAATCTCTTTGGCAGCCGAAAGTGTCTTAGGATGTTCCTGTAAGAAAGAACAGGCTAATAACACACATCCAAGGACACTTCCATAGGGGTGGTGTGCCTGGGACATGTAAAGAAAGGCCATCAGTGTTTAATACTGACAGCTGATCACTGTGTAATTTTTTAGGATTCATTTGTTTTGTATTTTTTTTGAGCTGCTGAGCTACACTAACTACTCTTACCATAGAATTGGGCTCACAGTGGTGGGATTTATACGGACATTTAAAGCACACTGTAAAAGAACACTGAACTGCCTTCGCATTAGAGACACACACTGTCTCCTCAACGGTGGTACATGCTTCTCTAAAGCATAGACTCCAGGGTCCTACCCAGAGCTTGCTTAATGCTCTGCAATCCTAGAAGCTGCCCCTGGCAGAATCCAAACACAATCACCTGCACTAAAGGAAGACACAGACAGCAATGTCCAATGCTACATAAGCACCCATTTAAAGAGAGAGAAAGCATAATCCAGACAAAATTTACCATTTGGAAAGGATCCTATAGCAGTGGAAGGAACACCAGCATAGATGCCACGAAAGCCACCAGCCTTCCTAAATCCTTGGGGACTCTGCAGTCTGGTTTTCACAGTATCCAGGGGGAAAAGGATCAAGTCAACGCAGACACCAGCAATTCCACCAGCCTTTGAGATAAAACCAGGCAGTAAAATGAATTAATACCCAGCGTGGTGAAAGAGCAGTGCATATGAGAGCAACTGAGTCATGCCTAAGCCAAAGTACTACTGAACATACTACTGTATGTACAGAATTACACGCAGCACTACTGTACATATCCACTTTGAGGTCAAGGTTATCTTCAAAGGCTTCTATAGCTATAACTAGAAAGCTTTAGCAAAAGAGAGAAAGTCATAAATATCCTAGCTTTGGAACCAGTTTTAGGAGATATTTCATTGCTTTGAAAAGTATCAAACGAAGCCATGCAATGCTGATTCTTTGTACACATAAGCTACAAGACAACATTAAATGCCACTTATCAAAATGACAAAGCACAGAATGACAATTACTTCTAAGAGTGTGTGTGGGGAAAAAAAAAAAGTCAGTGGAAGTTCTGTTTGCCCTGAAAACACCTCTAGACAACACTGACATTTACTTAACAGCCTTCTATAACTTTTCTTTGAAGCTTCTTTAAAAATCAATTTCAACAGAAATTTTGAAAGCTAAAAGAAAAAGTGGAAGCTTTTCATGCATAGCAAATCAATGACCATACTCTAAAAATGAGTTTCAACTAAAGCTAAATTAAAAAAAAAGGTCATCTAGAAACACGGGAACTGGAAAAAGACAGTGCTGATCTGTACAAAAGAATTACTTCTTAAAAACAGAAGATGAGATTGAAGCACATAGCAAACCCCAATACAAAGAAGTCAGTAATTTGAATGAATCCATTATGATACATTTTTTGGATCCATTACTTTTTTGACAAAAAGAGTCAGTTTGCTGAAACGGACCCCATACAAAGCAGCACATAAGGCATGGCATGGATTTTTGACCCTGCCTGAAAACAAACTCATATTACCCTGCACATCACTCTAACATTGGTTCAGTCCCAACAGAGGATTCAGAGAGGTGTTCAATATCTACTCCTATGGTTTTAATCAATAAATTAATTACTCTTTTAATCTACTTGGCTATTTTGCATGCATTGGCTTTTCCCACTCTTTTTCCATCAAAGTCCTTATCTGCTCCAAATAACATCGATCAGATTTAATCTAACCAACTGTCGCAACGTGCATCAAAACTTGCTAATTGCTTCTGCGAATTTCAGACTTGGGCACCTGGAAGGCCATTTAAATTCATGAAGCAGCTAATAGAGCCGCTGCCAGAGCGCAGCAACACCTGGGGGCTCCCAACACCCAAGTCTGATGAGATTTTGATAAAAAAAAAAAAAAAAAAAAAAAAAAAAAAAAAAAACCACTTTTTCTGCTGCCTTTCAGCTTACAAATAGCAATATCAGGAATGGGGCTGAAATATCTTTACCAGGAGCTGGATATTCCTGATAAACCCGTATCGTTAAAACGTTATTTCACCGCACTGCCCCCTGCGCGGCTCCGGGGGCGAGAGGGGGACTAGGCCGCCGCGTCGCCATAGCAACGTGCAGGCCCGTGCCCGCGCACTCACCGCCAAGGCCGCCCACGACTCCCGCGGCTCCATGCGGAGGTCGCGCGGCTCCGTGCGGAGCGGGCTCCGCGCACGCCGCCCTCGCAGCCCCTTCCCCGGAGGGAGAGGACGGCGCTAAACCCTGCGCTGCAACCTGCCCTCGCGAGCGCACATGGGCGCAGCCATTTTGTTGCCCTCTGACCCGCCGGGCCCCTCTCCGCCCTGCGCATGCGCAGGACGCCGCGCATGCGCATTTCGTGCAGAGACGCCGCGGCGGGACTGTTGCCCTTAGTGTGTGAGGGCGGCGGGGGCGACGAGACACAGACCGTTACTTTCTGGAACAAGCAGAAACAATTGAGCCCCAGTCACATCTTTGAGTTGTAATTTGAGACAATTACTCCAGTAACACCCAGCCGAGTATTTGGCTTTTTGAAAGAGTCTCGCTTTTAGGCAGAAATAAAAGTGACCCCAAATCTGCTGTTTCCCACTGGTGTTATGGTAAATGGCTAAATAAACACAGCAGCTCAAAGTTCCTCGGCTTCCAAGCTCATGTCTGTCGTTAAGTTAGGTACTTTGGAGAGGTATGGAAGGAAAAATCAGACATCTGTGGTAAATGGTGCATGCTTTTAGAGTTACTGCTATCCTCATATAACCTACTGATGGCAGCACTTAAAACAAGACCTTATTCCCCCTATGTGCCCAGGAGGTCTCTTGATACAAAGCTTCCTGGGATTTTAGCAAGCATTTTTCACATATATATGTATATATACACACACACACACATACATACACACACACGCACATATTTCTGCCTCCTCCCCCTCAACTCTACCTACTATAAGGTCAACACCAGCATCAGAATATATATTGATTTGGTCGTAATGTACTAGAGCTGCTGAAGAGCAGATGTTTAACGCAGGCTTCTTGGCATACATTACCCCCCGGAGGTATCAGTTGCACACATGTTCCACTATTTATTAAAGCAATCACTATCCTCATTCTGTTTATTATCTTTCTCCTGGGCAGTTGAGGCACTTCAGAGCCAACCCCTTCCAGTCAGTCAGCCCTTCTTGGATCATCATTTCTGCCCCACTTCAGACAACACCCTGCAACTTTTCCTTCCCTAGGACCTCAGCCCATCCCACTGTTGTGGGAAACAGGAGGAAATCTATCAAGAGAACAACTTTATCCTGGCCAAAATATATACAAATGAAGACTTGGATATCCCTTTTCCTTGGTTTAAGCAGACACAAAAAAGGGCCAGAGAGGCTATTTGGAGAGGGATTTCAGTGATATGACAACATATCATGGCACCCTAGAGGCTGTGATTCACTACAGAAGTACATAATGCCAAGTGGAAGTCTATTAACTCAGAGACTAGGAAGAAAGCATAACCTTTTGGCCATCAAAAACCTGCTTGTACCATTGTAGTAAACGGATGGCCAGAGAATTGTGAAATTAATGAAGAGAAAAAAATCTTTACTGAGACAGTATAATGCACATAGGAGAGCTGCATGACTGTGTGCCGTATATGAGTCCTTTTTCCTTCCAGAGATAGCATTGTTACAAGCCTCCTTAAATATCAGATAAATGCACACTAAGGTGAGGGCTCCTGCTGCCTTCTTGCACAAGCACAGTTTTTTTTTTTTTTCTTTGCCAAAAATGGGACACTTTTGCCAAGGATGGCCCATGTTCTTGGGCACAGTTTCAATATAATAAAATCTTAACTTGCAGAGGGCAAGTGTTCAGGGACTCTTGTGCAAGGAAACAGGGTCCAGGTGCTTACTCCTGGACTGGCATTTACCTCCAGCTACCTGGTGCTTAGGGACCATAGCCTGCCTGCACACATGGTAGCTATCCTATTATATTGCTAACTACTTCCCTGACTTTTGCATGTGCTGCTGGGAGCACCTCCTTAAAAAATAATACTAAATATTGTCCTGACATCTAGCCAACAGCAGACTTCTGGATCCAGAGGCACAGCAGCTTTTTTCAGCCTCTACTTGTTTGGTTGTCTCACTTTCACTGCCTTAATTCCCTCAAAGTACAGGGACAGCTGGTTAACATGAATTTTGATTTTTTTTTTTTTTGCCACTCAGACTGTAAGCTCCCCCTCACTGTTTATGGTAGCATTCCCTGAAATACTAACTGCAGTTCATTTTTATGGAAACAGATGGGAAAACCAAACAGCCAGAGATTTAATAACTCCTTCAAGTACTTAGCAGCAGAAAATCCAGTGCCCAACTCCATCAGAAAATAGTGATTAATGAAGATGGAGATTTTGCATAATGATAAAAAGCCTTAAACTGTACAACTTTGACAGGCTTCATTTATTTTGCCTTATTGGCTGCCTGGACAGCTAAAGATAAGTAGTTTGAGAAAGACTCAAAATGTCAATTTTAACTACTGAGTAAAGTAGGTAAAGTAACCATCCAGTAGCAATATAGTGACCTTTTCCATATCAGCACATGTTCCAGAGAGTCTCTGCAGTTGTTCTTACAGCACAGCTGAATTAATCTAATATTTCCATTTAGCACACAAGAGAAATGGAAGAAAATCTTAATTATGCCTGCATTTTGCTTATGGTCCAAAACACTGACACTGGAATTGCTCACATCTGTTCTCAGTTCACTTCGTGGGTTGATCCAGTGACTTGTTGATTCAGGAAGCAGAGCTAAGAAGAGTTGCAGCACAGTGGTCCTAAACTGTCCTTTACCAAATATCCTGAAGGAACAACATTGATGTTCTCCTACAGCAGCTAAAATCCAGATGCTGATTCCAATTCCTGCAGCAAGTGAGCTTCTTGAGTCAATCTCCTGGTGTTTTAGCGTCTTCCTCTCTTAAAAAGAGAATTAACAGCCCTAACCTTTTGGAAAGGCTGCTTTAAGCTTTAGGTGTGCTGCCCCTTTCTAGAAGGAGTACATACAATATTACTGCTCTTCCACTGTCCCTCCCGTTCCAGCCACTGTGGACCAGTGGGAGACCAAGGTCATCGTGGTGGAAGTCCATTAGGTACTATTTTGCTGTGCCTTTGTGAGGAAATACCCCTTGAATTTTTTATGGCTTTGGGGAGATGGACATCAATCCCCTTCTTCACTCTGTGGGGTTTCTTAAAGGACAGGGGGAGCTCCCTGTCCTTTAAGACCACATCAAATCCCACTTCTTTTGCCCCTTCTGCAGGCAATTGGCAGAGCCCAGCCAGAACCATGGGCAGAGAAAGGAAATGGATGGAGACAACAGCTCCATGGAGATCCATCTATCAGCATCTTTAGTCACCTAAAACCTCAGACTACTGCTGTAACAGCCTGAAACTCCAGCAGCTGAGGCCAAGCTTGAGCATGAGAACTCAATGCAAAGCAAAATTATTTTATCATTACAGCACATGATGAGCCTGAACAGCCAAGCTGCCTTTCTGCATGAGGCTCCCTTGGCTTCTCACAACCTGTAGGAGAGTTCTTCTCCCCACATGCATGTCCAGTTCTCTAGTGAGATACTTCAGCCCTGCTCCAGCCATGGCCATGAGATATTTTACATAGTTTGACACTATGCAGCATAGCCCTTTGCTGAGAGGTCCTTCGCAGGGAGCAGAGGAAGGAGGTTGATGAACAAGAAGTTCTTGTTCACCCTCCTGTGAATTTCCAAAGTTCTCTTCCTTTTCCTCCTGTTTTGCAGCAAGAGAGAATTGCCAGCTCCTCTCCTTTCAACAGAATTATCACTGCTGGTTTCCGATGTAAAGTTTCTCTGTTGGGAAAGTTTCTGATCATTTTGTCATATTGTGCCACCATGAGATACACTGCCATTCCTGGCAGATAACCAGTCACTCTTGGTCTGCTGGAGGAAACCAATTATCCAAGGGAAACAAAAGCATGGGAACACAGGCTGTTTGTACATGAGGAAAGAAAAGTGTATGACATGTGAATTTGCCAGATGTTACCACTTTAAATCTTATTAAAACATACCCTGTACTGACCATGAGCATATTATCTGGATGTGGAAGGAATCTGAAGATAAGAATTCTTACTGACAGCATTATAGTGGCCTGATCACACATCCTGCGAGCAATTCCATGAGTGGAACAATGTCAGAGTTTCTTGAAAATGCACAGATTGTTGACCTGGGCTTTGTTTAGCTCTGCCTGTTGCTTCATGTCCCTGTATCCTTCCTCTGGACTTCAACTATTTTCCAGAAAATAACACCAGGTTCCAAAATTAAGCCTGTTTTATAAAGGGAGACGTGACTTTGTCCAGCTCAGATGATGCCTCAAGGCATGTCTCAAACCTCTTCTGATAATGTCTTGTGTTTAGTCTAGCCAAAAATATTCCAGGTCACTTAACTAAAAACATATAAAACACAAAGAACGGAATATGAGATGTGCAGAATTTAAATGTTTAAATTCCATCTCCACCTTTCCTCAGTCCTTCTGAGATCAGAAATTACCAGGAGCTTTGCCAGATGCCTTTGAATATTCACAATCCTCTATGCCTCAGCTGGGACATAAGGGAAAATCCACTATCATAACAGAAACCCTGGAAGTCTGTCCTCTGTATCCTGGCAGACCATCCTCTTGGAAGACACCTCTAATATTTTACCTTCTCTTTTTCAGATGTCAGAAGTCCTTCTGACCGGCATACACAAGGGCCTTCAGGCGTGTTATACAGCTGGGTAGGCCTAGGGAATTCGAGCTCAGCCCACCTGGGCTTTGATCTGCCTGGGTTCACACTAGCTCAGGGACAGAAGATGAGCCCCACTAGCCCCATTCCAACATGTTAGACACACAGGGAATTGTCTGCAAAGGAGCAAATTGCACCACAGAGAAACACCAGCTCCTGCTTGCAAGGGAGCAACCGAGCACTGTTCAGCTCCAGACTTGAGTGCTTCACCAGCAGCCATAGCAGCATCCAGTTCTCCAGCATCCAAGCACTTCTTTCTGCAAGGGGAAAAGCTGAATATTCCCACATAGGGGGAATTGGCTTATGCTCTTTGGAAGCCTGCAAAGCCAGCAAGTGCTTTCAAGCGTCTGCCTATTTATTCCTTGTTTTCTTTTACAGGAAAAGAATACAGGGAGGCTG